AGAGAGAGAGAGAGAGAGAGAGAGAGAGAGAGAGAGAGAGAGAGAGAGAGAGAGAGAGAGGAACTCTGGTTCTGAGCTTGAAGTCAAGAACTTGGAGAATTCAATGGGTCATTGCAGTTTCACGAAGTGGCGCTTTCCGTCTCCTTGATCTCTGTCTTCTTTTCCCTTTCTTAAGAACTTTTGTGAGCTTCACCTCTTCTCTGTTCTGTTCTGTTCTGTTCTGTTCTGTTCTGTTCTGTTCTGTTCTGCTCATTCCCATTCTGTTGTCTTCTGTTCCATTCTGTTCTGTTCTGTTCCGGACCGTTCTGATGTGTTATGCCTTCTGCTCTCTGCTTCCTTCTGTTCTGTTTTGTTTTGCCGCCTGTCGTGGTATGTTTCCGAACTTGCGATCATTGTTTTGCACAGGCTGTCTGTGATTGCGGCAGGCGCAGCAGCAGGGAAGTTCCTGACGTATGAGGCAGGCGTACCCGCAGTATGTGTGCAAACAGCCTATGGCATGGAAGTTGAGGTACGGATTTGCTGACAGTTTCTGAAAAGATGCGGCCATATTCAAACACCCGTGTACCATTTTGAGAGCTTTTGTCCTTCTTTCTCCCCTCCCCCCCCCTTCTCATGTTTTTGAGAACTACAAAAGCGCTCTCCATATTGAATGCCATCAGTCACTGTACACTTTTCTTTTCTTTTCCCCCTGCCATGCTCACAGTGAGTACCTTCTTCTTCTTCTTCTTCTTCTTCTTCTTCTTCTTCTTCTTCTTCTCCTTCTTCACTCCTTATCTTTCTCCTTCTCCTTCTTCTTCTTTCCTCTTCTTCTTCCTCTTCTTCCTGTTCTTCCTTTTCTTCCTCCTCCTCTTCGTCCTCTTCCTCCTCCTCCTCCTCCTCTTCTTCTTCTTCTTCTTCTTCTTCTTCTTCTTCTTCTTCTTCTTCTTCTTCTTCTTCCTCTTCCTTCCTCTTCCTCTTCTTCCTCCTCCTTTTTCCTTCCTCTTCCTCTTCCTCCTCCTTCTTCTTCCTTCCTCTTCCTCTTCCTCCTCCTTCTTCTTCCTTCCTCTTCCTCTTCCTCCCCCTCCTCTTCTTCCTCCTCCTTCTTCCTTCCTCTTCCTCTTCTCCTCCTCTTCTTCCTCCTCCTTTTCCTTCTCCTCCTCCTCTTCATCCTCCTCCTCCTCCTCTTCTTCTTCTTCTTCTTCTTCTTCTTCTTCTCCTTCTTCCAATGGATTGGCTCTGAGAGGTTTTCCGGACTGCTGCACGATTGCTGTCTGTACAGATGAGAGAGCGAGGCATGGAACCCTGTACAGGCACACTCAATAATTCCCTGCTTGGGACCTGTTTGTTTTGCTGTAACTCCTTGGGGAGGGCTCCACCATGACTGATACCTGACCACGTCGTATCTTCCTCTCCTCCACCTAACCCTCCCTTCCCCACATTCATCAATCAACCAGTCCCCCATTTTTTGCATCAGGGCCAGGTAGGATGCTACTAAAGCTCCTTCTGGAGCTTTTTCCTACCTCGTTTGCCATCTGCAACAGATCTATTGCATTTGCCCTTCTCCCTTCTTATCCAATCCTCCCAGTCCCTAATGGGACATCTCGGGAGCACATTCTACTAAGAACATCGTAACTTGTTGCTTTTCTCTTGCAGGTAATCAATGTGGTGGTAATTGCCCTTCATCCATGACGTTTTCCCCATCCATGATGTTTTCCCGCTCAATGATTACCATCAGATTCTGTACAAATTTTATAGCAAGGGCCGGGTTCTCCCCACCAGTCGAATAACATTTTTTGTCCTAATGGATTGATGGGCGGTGTGGCATGAATATGGTCTGTGTTTTGGTGCAGGTGGAGGCGAGTTCCTTTGACCCTACTTTGATGCACTTCATGGATTATAGGGACTTTAAGGGGAGAGCGGAGGCCACATCAACAGGGAGGAAGAATGTCAGAAGTCCTTTTGGGAGTGGTGGTGCTGGAGGGGGAGGTGGAGGTGGAGAGGGAGAGGGAGGTGTGGAAAGCGAGATTCCCACCTTTCTATATGTCATGCCTACGACGCAAACCCGTCTCTTTCTTGAGGTATGACGTTGCTATGAATACGGGGCTTGAATTCCAAATTCTTTTTTTTTTTTTTTAATAAAAATTTTCAGATTAAAGTTTGGTGAGGTGGAGGTGGAGATGGAGGTGTGGAAAGCGAGATTCCCACCTTTCCATATCTCATGCGTTCGACAAAAAACCGACTCTTTCTTGAGGTATGACGTTGCTATGCATGCGGGGCTTGAATTGAATGAATTCCATTTTTTTTACCTTCTTTTCTTAATAAAGTCTTTGTTGAGATAAAGGGAGGAAAAAAACGGAAAGTTTCGGTGAAAGAAAAATGAAAGGGAGAAATTTGAAAGTGTAAAGTAACTAAGTTTTTTAGGTCTTGGACCTTTTTTTTTTAACTCTATAGATTCAACAGAAGAGGAGGAAAGGTGGACGACCATCTTCCTGCGAATAAAACATATGGTCATTATCGCTGAATCTAGACCGGAAAGGTGCTCAAGTACAACTAGAATGACTGTACCTTCTATTTGGGGGAAGACGGTAGAGACCGCAAGCCAACAACGGAGAGAGTTTAGAGCTCAGTCGTCAGGAAACTGAAGTGGGGGGAAAAGATGAACTGGGCCTAGCTCAGTTGGTACAGACCCATGAACTGTTGAGATACAGACCCAAATTGGAATCACGATGCAATCAGATGAACAGAATGTACCAGCGTAGAGAGAGCCAGATCCATGCAAGTACGTGATCAGGTTGCATGAGATGGCCGTAGAAACTGTTTGTACCGGGGCCATACAAACTCTCTCTCTTTTTTTTTTTTTTTTTTTTTTTTTTTTTTTAACACCAGGCGTCTCTGGCCATAGAAATTCTATCACTTTGAGACTGGTCGTGCCAAAAAAAAGAAAAAGAAAACAGAAAGAAGAAGAAGAAGAAGAAGAAGAAGAAGAAGAAGAGACTGGTTGTGGATGCCATCAGCCGTTTGGCAAGGGAGTAGGCGCGTTGCATCAGGTGATTCCCTGCGCCATGAGGGTTACATCCTCTGCCGTTGTGACAACCAGACATCTAGGTAGTTCACCGGCTGTCAGTACACGGTGCAGCCGTCATCTCTCCTGCGGTTCAGCACTCCATTGAGGGGCCCCCTTGTGTCCAGTACTAGCTCGATTTCTCAATCTGTCCGAGTCTCAGTACCTGGCTTTTCTGTTCTTGTTTCAGCCTTTTTTTCAGACCCGTGTGTTCCAATTAAACCGTCCGAAATGAAGATCGGAGAGGAGAACTTGTCTACCTTCTTCCCCTCCTCCGAATACAACGTACGGTCATTATAGCTGTATTTAGAATTTTAGACTGAAAGATACCCCAAAATTCATACAGCTATAATGACCGTACGTTGTATTTGGGCAAGATGGTAGTTAGTTAGCGGCGGTCAGGAACGACATAGAGATGGAGAACATCCCCAAAGATCATCAAGTACTGGCAACAGGCTCCTTCTTGGGCGGCGCAGCACATAAGTGGCTATAAACAGTACGATGGTGGAGGCGAGTACGAGTGCTTGGCACGGTATATCTTAGTTGAAATTCTGCAGTTCGTGAACAATGGTTCAGGGATTTGACAACCGTGCAGAATGTGTCAGATGAGCGGAAAAGTATAGACAGCACAAGTTTTGGTTTATAGACTATAGATGCTCTAACAATGAAGGTTGAACAACTAATCCAGGTCCCCGAAGTAAACTACGCCCTCTTCCTGATCCAGGTCGCTCAGGGCCTAACTGCAAAACACCAGGAATGTGTTAGCAGTTCGGGGCTTATCGTCCCAACCTTGTTACCCTAGCTTCTTTGCCACAGGAGGCCTTGGGTGTGGAAGCTTTTTTTTTTTTTTTTTTTTTTCCCCCCCACGCAAAACAGAAGCCCCTCCTGTTATAGGGGGTGTCAGTCTGGTCGCTTATAACCAGCAAGCCTAGTCAGTCAGACAAAGTTCGAAAAGAGTCAGAAAAAGGGAGGCCAGACTAGCAATAGAGTGGGGGGGGGGGGGGAGGGAAGGTATCGGGTGAGGCCTGCACCTGGCCCGAACACGAAAGGGGCTGTGGGGTATCGAACTCAGGCAGCGAAGATGGCAGGGGGGAGGGAGTCGGGAGGCGTAACCGCACCCTGTCACGTCATCCATCCTCGCTACCCCGGCGAAGATGACTGGGGGGAGGGAGCCGGGAGGCATACCGCACCCTGTCACGTCATCCATCCTCGCTAGGTTGCTCCGCTCAGAGGTAGAAGGCGCAAACAGAATTGTAGCAGGGAAGAAGAGACTCACCGGAAAACAGAAGGAATCGTTTAGCAGTTTTCCGGTGCAAAAAGAATTGTAGCGTATTCAAACTTTGTTACCCTATAGCTTCTTTGTCGCAGAAGGGCTTGGGTTGGGAAGCTACTTCTACATCTACATCTACATCTACACCTACTATAATAACTGCTAAACGTCATATCGCACGGACCGAATCGCAGGCCGGTAACCACCGCGGACGGCGCGGATCGCAGGCCGATCAGAAAGTTTTCTGATCGGCCTGCGATCTGGGCCATCCGTGGTGGTTACTGGCCTGCGATTTGGGCCCTTCGATGTCAGATTTCAGATTCTGCCGGTCGCTACTGGAGGGGCCGAATCGCAGGCCCGCCCACCCCTCCAATCGTCTGCCCGCCCGTCCGCCCGTAATCCTGGCCTGCCCCGTCTACTCCTCCACGGTCGCCGGTTGGTACCGGAAGTGCCGAATCGCCCACCCACATTGTTGTTGCCGGCCACCCCTCCGATCACCCGCCACTTTCCGGAACGTGCGCGTGTGTGTGCTCCGTGGTCGGTGCACGTGTGCGTGCTCTGCGTCGGTGCGTGCGTGCGTGCTCAGTGGTCGGTGCTCTACCTGCGTGGTGGTCCGTGCTCTCTCTCTCTCTCTCTCTCTCTCTCTCTCTCTCTCTCGGACTGTGCTCTCCTTTGGTGCTCGACGGGAACTTGCTGCTCATCTTTGGTGCTCGGTGCTCATCGTGGATC